TTCCCCCCCCTCCCCCCTCCTCCTTTGTCTTCCTTCTCCTCCTCCTCTGTTATTTTTAATGATTTCCCTTCCTTGGCTGACCCTTTTAAAATCAAATACCATGCAATTCATATTTTGTTGACCTGATTCACAATGCTTTTCTTTTCTTTTCTTTCCTGAAATGGAAGGTTTATTATAAAGGTCAGCTGGGAAGAGCTACAACCTTAAGTGTAACTCCTGAAATGGAAAGAGTCAAGAAGAATCAAGAAAATATTAGCTCGGCAAGTAGTTTTATTCATTTGGGGTCATTACAAAGGATGTATTCTTTATAATTTACTTGTAGTATTGTTTCTGACCTTATAAAACCAGGCATGATGTTTGCAATAAATGCATGTGTTATTTTGGACAACTTCTGGAAGTTTTCACTACATAAATTTGCATTATTGTGCACCTCCTCATTGGTATTCCCAGACATGACTGACAGTAACATTTGTAGTTTATTTAAATAACAATTCACTGGGGCTGGAGAGATGGCTCAGTGGTTAAGAACACTAACTGTTCTCGCAGAAGACCTAGGATCGAATCCCAGTATCCACATGGCAGCTAATAACTGTCCACACATCCAGTTCCAAAGGATCTGACAGCCTCTTCTGTCCTCCACGGGCATTCATTGCACGACACTGGTGCACTTACCTACATGCAGGCAATACACGTGTACACATAAAATAAAAATAATAAATAAAATATTTAAAAATTCATGTTATTTTAGCCAGTATCTTTGAAACTGAGGGGGTCCTTGATGTGTAAGTCAAATAATTGTCGTTTTGTCAATGTGCTTCACTGAACAAAGTTGTTAAATACTTTCTACAAAAACAAACTGGAAAGTGAGTCATTACTCCAAAGTAAGGAATTAGAGGAAAAATATTCTAGTACATTCATTGCAGAATTCAGTTACTTGTAAAAGTTGCTCAAGGTGATGATCAGTACCTTGTTTGGACAGTGTGCATTCTCTTAATGAATGGTACAACTTCGTTGCACAGATCACTCAGATCTGTTGTAAGTTTGTCTCCAACTCGCTGCCAGCCTCATCAGCATCAGAAGCAGAGCCCTGTTTGCAGTACACTTGGAGGAGCTCTGTGTCTGTGGATCAGCATTTGGGATTCATAACTGATGGCTTTCTCTAGCGCTCCTGCCCAGAGATGCCCCATATACTCAGCATAAATTTCCTTTAAGCTGTAACCGCTCAGCAGGAAATGTGGATCTTTTCCTTCTTTTCATTCTCTTGGGAGGGGAAAAGCAAAGGGGAGTTGAGAGAAACTTGGTATGCATCCCTGAACAATGTTATGCAGAAATTGGGGGAGTTTAGACACAGAAAATAAATTGGATTCTATTTCATCTTTCGTTTTCTCTGTTTAAATGTGATAACTAGTTTTACCAGTGCCATTTACTGACTGTTGATCACATTCTCGTTGATATACTTAAGTCATTTTTGCAATAACTTTTAAGGGAGAGCTTCAGGAGCATAATTTTAGGTGGCTAGTGTGGAAAAAAATGAATGTAATTCACTGAAAGAAAGTTACCGGGGAGATAATTTTGCATAGGTTGCACATGATTTGTTCATTTGGCGAACTTTAAAAGTTATTCGATTTTTATTATAGTTATTCAGTTATAAGACTGTCTGATTTTTATTTCACAGGTGAAATACACCCAGGACCATAAACAGATGAAAGGTAGACCAAGTCTGATTTTAGATACGCCTGGTTTGAGACATGTTAAAGAAGCACAAAATCATGTTTCAATGGTAGGGTACAACCAGATCACCCTCTCCATGACTAAAATATACTAAGGAATGGCAAGACCCAAGCACCAATGGTGTTAGTTCACTATTAATCTGGATGACTAATGGAGTGTGGCAACTTGATTGAGCCCTGGGGGGAAGGGTTATAACTGCACTGAAATATAACGGAAATATTTATTCTAATAAAATAATTTTCTTCAATGACTTTTTGGTGTGTTTTTATTTCTAATGCGACTACTATAAATGCAACTTGTGAATGACATTTGCTTAGATGTTTTTCACTTAATTTTAAGACACAGTTTGGTATAATTGCATGCTATTAAAAATATTTTTTAAAGTATTTTTTTTATTTCCTAGAGCTATTTACTTACTATAAAGTTCACCCATTTAAAGTGCTTAATCAAGGTTGGCAGGGTAATTTACAGTGGTACAGCTATTACCTATTTGAATTTCAGAACATAAAATGTGTATGTATTTTATATGTGCGTGATTTTGTAATTATATATGAAAATTTTAATTCTAATTTTAAATAGCACCATCTTCTTGAAGAATTATGTGCAAATGTAAAATTGAAGATTAAGAGACAGGAAATCAATTTGTAGTCAAATTTTATATTTTAGGAAGTAACTAGCATTTTAAAATAAGTGTCTTTTATACCTTACTAATATACAGGATTACATATCATTTAAAGGAGACACCATAATGAGGAGTAAAATTTTAAAAATAAGCTGGTGTGGTGGTGGCACACACCTTCAAGTCCAGCACTCAGGAGGCGGAGGCAAGTGGATCTCTGTGAGAGTGAGGCCAGCCTGGTCTGCATAGTGAGATCCAGGTCAGCTGATGCTACAGAGAGATCCTGTCCCAAATCAGTCAGTCAGTCAATCAATGAACCAGTCAATGAGTGAATGAATGAATGAATCAATCAATCAGCACTTGGTTTCTGACATTCTTTTAGGACTACTTGGCACTTACATGCTTATATATTATAAGCTAGATGCAGTGTATTTGGTGGCACCTGTCATTTTATCAACATTTTATAATAAGTCATCAGTAATTTCAGTGTGAGTTAACATTGTTTTTCCATTTTCAGGTAAAATATCATGAAGATTTTGAGAAGACAAAGGGAAGGGGCTTCACTCCCGTGGTGGATGATCCTGTGACAGAACGAGTGAGGAAGAACACCCAGGTTGTCAGTGATGCTGCCTATAAAGGCGTCCAGCCCCATGTTGTGGAGATGGATAGGAGACCTGGGATCATTGTTGGTAAGCAGCTGGCATTCTCCCAGGCATGCATAGTTAAAAGACTGTGCCCGTTCTAGCAAGCTTGATGTGAATTCAAAATTGACCGTAGGAAGCATTGTCAATGTTTTTTACTCTTGGAAGTTCTCTTTAGGATCGTCTTACTAAACAGCAGCAACCCAGACAGAAGCAATTCCAATGACTGAACAGTATTTTCTTTCCTTTAATGTATGTACCTGCTTGTTGCAGGTATATATGTGCCTCGGGGACAGAAATAATTGTTTCTCATTTAGCTCCACTTATCACAAACAGGGACTCCGATGGTATTGTGTAAAATGAATCATTTGTATTTTTGAATTGTATTTCTGAACTAGGTTATTTGAAAGCCATTTGAAAGCCCATAATTTAGAGAGGAAATTCTGCTGTCTGTTAGTTGCATTCAGCCCGGGAAAATCTATAGGAAATGTGGCTTGAAACACCAGCAAACATCAGACTGAAGTATGAGTGGGCTAGAAGGGAAAATCGTGTTTCTCAGTATAGCTAAAAGCAGGCAATGTTGTTTCCAGTGGTGCAGTTAGCCTCTGAGTGTCTAATCTACTTCAGCTGTGTACCTTCATTATTGCTTTACTGCTGCTGTGATAAAATAGCCTCACAAAAACAACTTAAGCGAAAGGATTTATCTTGGCCACAGTTCAAAGGTACAGTCCAAGAGTGCTAATAGCAGATCCCTAAGTGACTTGGAAGTGTATCAACATGATGCAGAAAGTATTTTCCAAGCATATTTGTGGTAATTAATAGCTTTCTCCTTCTTTCCAGGTCAGTTACTTGATAGGATGATAGCAAGATGGAGAGATGAATTGTGATGCTTTCAGTAGAATTAAGGAGTAGAGGGTTTCATTGATGTGTGCTCATAACTCATAAGGGAGAGTGGTGTGCATTATCTCACCCAGAGTCTTACAAAGATCAGGGCCCAGGAGTGGTGATGAAATCTATGCCCAAACCCACGAAACTGTCTAGACATGGCTCTCAGATTCAGTATTTACAACATTTGCAGTAGAAATCATTACTATTTTTTGAATATAAGATGTATAACTCAAAATTATTTATTTGGTGGGCAAGTCAATTTATTTCTCTTATGGGGACAATCCGTTTCTATGAGGACTTGCTTATGAAAACATAAAATGAAGTACACTTAACAAACTCTAAATTTCCAGTGAGCCAGTGTCTAGACCATGCATGAAAATACAAGTTTATAGATGTAATAAATGCAGATGGAGACAGTCCTGCTAATTTTACTACAAGGGGCGAGAAGACTCTTCTACTTACCAGTCGGATGAACTTGGCAAAGCTACTCTTGTCCCCGTGCCTCAGTTTTCCTCATCTAGGAAATGAGGGTAACAATAGTGCCTGCTTTAGTATATATGAGGCATAAATGAGTTAGGTCATCACAGAATAAGACTTGACATGTAGTAAACAGTGCATGAGAACATCTTTGGTTCACTGTACTAATCAGCTCACTTTTGCCATAACTGGGTTCTTGTTTCCAGTTGTTTATCACTGAACAGTCCCTCTTAGGTCCTGATACCCAACTGATAAATTTAGAAATCGTTAAATTTGAATTTTGCCTTCAGCTGAAGTAGAAAGCAGGCACCTTGGCTGTCACAGTCAGCGTTCTGTCACTGTGACCAAAATCCTGAGAACTCAACAGGATTGATTAAAATCCTTAGAAGGAGGATGTGTTATCTTGGCTCATAGTCTGAGGTTTTCGTCCCTTGTCACTTAGTCCTGTTGTTTGGAGTCTGTGACAATCCAGTGTATCATGCAGCCAGAGTGTGTCGGGGAGAAGGACAGCCACTGGGAAGAAAGGGACACTGGAAGGGGCCTGTGTTCCGAGATCCTCTTAAAGGACCTTCCCCCAGTGACCTAAAGTCCTCAAACCAGGCCCTATATCCTGAAGTTTCCACACCTTTGAATAGTGTCACAGGTTGGTGACCAAGTCTTCAATATATGAACCTTAGGGGGCCACTTCAGATGCAAACTATGGTGACAATGTGCTGACTGAGCACAGCAGTGAACTAATCTGTGGTCCATGGAGGGCAGAAACTGCCTTTATTCATCCTCCCATCTCTCCTGGTTCTTTGAAGCCTGTTTATAGCATCTCGTGATAAACGTGTCTTTTATGGCTTCATTTGTATCACAGACTTCCCAGCCTGCTACTTGTCTGCATTTCTAGTATGCTTCCTGTCGTTTTGTTTTAAACAGAAACCTTGCAGGCGTTTCTTTGGAATTACTCACATGTTCTTAGTCAAGAATTGTTTTTATTTTTGAGAAATTTCATGCATGAGTATTGTATTTGCATTATTTCCATCCTTCCCTGTCCCCTCCAACTCCCTCTCAATTTCTTATCCTCTTCTTTATTATTGTTACATATACACATATATATATATACATACACATACTTAT